TATATTTTACTTAGAAAGTATATTGCTAAAATTAATATTTAAAATTTTATTAAAAAATTAGAGTTTAAAAAAATGAACACAAGCAAATTTGCCTGTATTCCAATTTAAGGGATAGTAAATAAAGAAGCATTTGCAAATATAGATATATAGTTTTGCTATAGAACTTTTCAATTGAATTATTGTTGTATCAACTTGCATATTTGTTAAACATGGAAGAGACATAAAAAATTTCTTAAATGCTATGCAAAGTTTTCAAAAAAGGTGCACAAAAGAAGTAAATTGAATACAATCACATACAAATTAAAACAAATAGACCTAAAACTTAAAGTTATATGCAAGAATTTTTAAAAAACAGTAGAAATCTATTATTATATAGATAGTAAACCCAGTTTTTTAAGTTTTTTTGTACTTTTTTTTGTTTTTTAATATTAAAAAATCATTAGTTAATACCCAATTCTAAAATTTTTTAGGCTCTTAGATACAAGTATAATAGTTTGAGAGAGTATCTAAAGAACTTGTGTCAATTTAATCAATATCGTTAACATAAGTTTTACTTAGAAAATTGGTAAGTTTAATATGCTAGGAGAGCAATTTTAAAGAAAGACTTAATTTAATAAGATATTTTATTTACAAAGATATTATAAGGAACTTTCTACTACTCATTTCTTATTGTACAGAAGTGATTTATTATATATGGGTCTTAATCATCGAGTGGAAAAAACTAACAGAGAATGTAGTAATAAATATATAATGAGAATATAATAATAATAATATAACAAAAATAAAGTAATAAAAATATAACAAAAATAAAGTAATAAGTATAATAAAAATGAAGTAATAAAATATAATAATATTTATATAATAGAAAATATAATATATGTATAATAATTGAAAAATTATGATGTAATTAGGGATTACCAAAATTTCTGTGATACAGATCACTAAATTCACTATGTTTGTGTAGAATCTTATATACAATAGGATGCTAACAAGATAAAATATGCTACTACATCTTTTTTGGTAAAGAATACCAAGGATACTATCAAATTTGTTGTTACCAGATACATAGTAAACATTATGTGAATGATTTAAAATTAATATTTGTTATTACTATATTATTAAAACAGAAATAAAGTATGCTGCTATGCCTTTTTTGAAATATTTCAGTTCTATATATTCTTAAATTTATAGCTTTCTTTTCAAGCAAAGTATAATAAAGCGTGTAGTAACAGTAATGATATTATTATATAATATAGAATAATTTATTATTAATGCTAATTGAATAAAAAGCAATATACTACCACACCTTTTTTGAAAGAGAATAACTTTTTTTCTTTGTTTATATATAATTAAGTCAGAGTAAAAACAAAATTAAATATTTTAAAATTATAGATTGAACTATTTATAACTAATAATCAAATAGATAACTTACTTTTCTCAACTAGTAGCTGTAATGTAAAACCAAATAAATCAAGTATAGTTTGGTATCCATTATTGCCAAATCTTCAATATATGCAAGTTCTACTTACCAAAATACCCTCAGTGCTAGACTTGTATATATTTGATATAATATTATCTGGAGTTAGCAGTCTTAGCGAAGGTTATACTATTTTAGCTAAAGATTGTACAAATAAGAGTCAGGTAAGAGAAGTAGCACTTATTACATAATATCAAGAGGGAAGAAAAGATCAGAGAGATCTTACGTAGTATATAATATTGTTACAGTACCGTGGCCTTCTTAACAGCAGTACTATAACAATAATACGGCTACAGGGATCCTTTACAGATTTATAGCGGTGTCCAACAGGTAAGTATAATTTCTACTACAACTAGAAACTAT